GGCACGATAAGAGGACAATGCATGAGTGTCACATAAGAAGATTAGAATATCCAAATGAACTGAAAGCGATTACCAGAATAGTAAACAGCAAGTCAAGGATATATATATTTATAAGAGAGGATGGGATTTACCAACATACACGTTATAGGCATGTGCTCATATAGATTGACTAAACAAATCCCACTCTCCAGAGCAAGAATATCTCAATTCAGGGCGCCTAGTTCGGCGTGTAAACGAAGCCAAAAGGTGCACACGGTGCAAGCGCCCACACAAAGGAGTTCGGTATGGCAAAGGTGGGCAAGATATGAACGGTTGGTTTGCGTGTACGTGCATGTTTGCGCAGGAAGATGAGTGCATGTGCGCGAANAGTAAAAAACATCAACCTCGTTTATTAATTCCATGAAATCAGGTGACACGAGGAGGTGCAACGCGGGTCTGAGGAGTCGGCTGCGGTATACCCTGATACTGGTATTTGGCCTTTTTTTCCGACGGTTTGAGAACCTACAAACGAGTAATAAACACCAAGCAGTGATAAACAAACGAAAGCAGTTATCAAGTGGATTATACGTCACATGGGATGGCATTTTCAAGCATCCGCGATCGAGAAAGAACGAAACTAACAGATTACATTGGAACCCAATGTAATCTGTTAAACGAATGGTTGAGAGGTAAGGGTGCGTGATGATACCAAAGGAGTAGTACTATGACTATGGACATAATCAGCAGTCAACTTTAGTGTAGTTCTCTTTGTCTTTACTCAACGTATGAATAGAGAAAACTTCACAGTGGGATTAAATTCAAAAATACCGAAGAAGTGAACAGGTTTCAGGGCGCTTACCTGGAATGAGCAAGTTAAGTTCTCGTCTACTGTCATCATGCCACCGGCATTATCGAATTCACCGCAATAGTTTGGAGCCGAGAACAAAGTAACCAGTTGTCGTCGATTGAAAAATTCGAAACCATCCTCCACAACCTGATGGGCCCGGCAAATGAGATCTAGGTCGTGGCGGTTGAGGAATTTGGACACGACATCCGGACCAAAAGTGAAACTAACTCCGCGATCATTCTCGGCCCAGCCGGTTACATCCTTGTCCGGATCAGACCATAACAAATCACATAGTAATCCTAAAATTGGAGAGTTGGGCGAAACATAGGTAATAGGGGAAAAGCTATGCGCGGAAACGCCAGTACATCATAATTTCGATCAATAGCTGTTTGACGACCCTAAAGAGTAGGCGTGGTTTTCTATCACACGAAGGGAAGGACATAAGTGTTTAACTCCGCTGCCACAAGACTATGAAAAGGAATGTGCGGGAACATTCAGGTAGGAGCCACTTTATTGATCTTGTGCTCAAAGAGTGAAAGACTGCAGGTGAGTGTTCTGTAGTTTGACAGTTCGGTGTGGAAGAGGTTTATTATTTGAGTCAGCAAGGTCACCGAGTTTTGGAATCGGAAAAGTTGAATGGAAAGACGGATAAGATGATGTAAAACAGACGAAGGCATTTAGAGGACAATGGGTGGTGTGCTATACGGACTGGATGGTTGGCATATTTTCAGAGTGCAATTTAGGGGATCCTCTCAATGCTCACATGAGTCAGCACCAGAACGGTATGAACGCATCCCTTCCCTTAAAGTTTTATAATTATTTCTCGATTACAGAAAGCGAGCGGATTGTGAGAAAAAATGACTTTTGAGTAAGGAGGAGATGGAGGCAACACAAGAATCAAAAACGTTAGCTCTCTCGTGTATTTTATGTCCAAGATCAGCAGAGGGATTACGGATGGAAGGGAAATCGGGAGGGGCAGAAATAGCGGGATGCTGCTTTGATGAGGGTCTAACATGTTTGATTGCTGGTGAAAATCATTGGACTGCACGATGTGGGCAAGCTGAACCTGGGGCAGGTGTGTGAGGCTAAAGCACGATCTCATGCACCAAATTTGCAGGGTTTGGATACGTGTGGAGTAAAATGATGTTTATCGTGAAAATGAATGTCGGAGAAGTTGGAAACGGATGTGGAAAAGTTCAAAGTAAAACAGCCAACGCTCCAAGTATAGAAAGCTAAGAATTCTCGAAAACGGTTTCGACTGGTTGAATTATAGTGCCAAAATGTCAAGGAAGAGGATGAGTGTATTTAACGCAGCCAGAAATTATAATGGTTCAATCAGCCAATTGGAAGGAAGGTGGAGATGTCTAAGAAGAGGGAAGGGACTGAAGGGAAAATAAATCAAGGGTACGGATACTGATACCAGCTCTGTCGTGTCGGTGGATCAACTAACTGGCTTTGATTGTTAATCATATTAAACTGCTCGGCTCTGCGCTCCGAAAACGTAGTGTCAATGTGTCAAATGATCTTGATTATGAACGTAACACAGCGGTTGAAGTCCTAATGAACAAGTACACAGTCAAAACATAAGAGATCGAACGCCTCACATACCGCAGGTGGTAAGTGATCAGTGGGCCAAGGCACAGATATCAGTTTTGTGTGGAAAAGAAGAGTGATAAGTGCAGTTGGGAAGTTGAAGGTGAGTGGGGTCCCACTAAGAGATTTAGGTTTTGGTGAAAAATACGACGACTGGAGAAGATCCAAAGATTACAGACAAACAGACAGACAACTTATCTGTTTAGTACATGCTCCATTCCGTTCACTTATGTTGTATTGTGTAACTTTCACAAGCAAGGAAGCATACACTTCCTTTTAAAAATATACATGTCAACCGTCACACGGGACATATGCAACGGGGGTAGAAATTAGTTAGACACCATGGGAACATTTCATAATCCAAGGCTAAGAAGAAGATTAGTTGTTTCCATCTCACTGTTACAATAAACAAAAAAAATGATCACCTGCATCGATCGTCTCGCAGGATCAGGACGGTGCTGGTCCTTGGATCGAGCGGGGTGGGTAGCGATAAGTAACCTACTGCTCAGATATTCCAACTTTTAGTCTTCTATACTCAACCCAATACTTCTGGGAAATTCCTCGGCAGTNCAGCCTCGCCGCATTGAAAGCAAACATTCCTGTACTTCCTTACTTCGCAGTTTGACAGCAGTGCCGCCACATCGTCTGCGAGCTTTTCCAGAGCTGCCATAACATCATCCGTCAGTTATCGTTTTCGGACTGCGTGAGTCCGGAATTTCATGATCCGTTAACTGCCTCACAACTTCAGACAGCGTGAAACCATCCAAGACACGCCCGCGTGGATTATTTCCGCCTTTTCCCGTGGATCTACACCAAACACTCCAGCAATAATTCAGACCGAGCGGGATCGGTCAACGTTGCTAGCGCTTGATCCGACAGGCGCCGTCAACTTACCCCGGTCCGACCGTATCCCCGCCAGCTCCGCGAAGTTCTCAAACTCCTCTACAAACCTCCGCGAGTTTACATCCCTGAAGAGTCGACGCCAGGAAACCTTCATCCTGATCCTGACGACGGTATCAGTTATGATTCCAGAACGCAGTGCCTGGTAGAGGAAGTTGTTTACTGTAAATGACGGTGGGGTATCGGTAAATGGGCATTCACACAACAAAATATCACATTGGGAATGGGTCTCTCGAATTCCCAGAGACACGTAAGAAGCCAATGGAACCGTCCATTACTATATGCGCACGCTTGTAGTTACCATACTGAACAGCCGTAATTCGCTCCAACAGGTCTTGTTCAATATTGACCATTGAAAAAACCGCCAATCGCAACTTCTTGCAAACTACTCACAGGTGCGAGTAGCACCTAGTAGGATGAATAAACTGAACACGCCGGGTCTTTATTCGAGGTATTTACTTCGCATATCAGATGATAAAACCCAACAACTTAAACCTTAGGCCTGTAATTTTGTTCTGCACTCCAACCGTTAACTACTACCATGAGGGGTCTGTGATCCGTATTTTCGTGATAGTTCAATCTTTATTGAAACGCCCTTTCTCAAGAGCCAAGGTTATTCGTTTTCAGGAATGTAAAGCGTTGCATATATATGTTCGAGCCAGTACAATTAGATTTCTTTCATAGATTATGTTCAAGCTATGACAAAATTTAACTCATAAATTTTGAAATGATGTCGCCAGTTGAGGGCACTACCGGACCATCCGATGGGAAATGAGTTTAACCAAAAGCTAATCCTTATTAATACAACAGGAGGGAATGTTGAACAGTGGACAATACGTTTAATGTGACTAATGACGCAGCTAAAGATTTATTGATATTAACCTAACAAGTATATGCTTACCTGTATCTGGGATATCGGATGGCCGCAGAATTCGCCTGATTTGCTCCATGCTTTGTAAGTCTGGAGAGAGGCCTGGAGCAAAAGAAGTGATCGATGACTAAGGGTAAGGTGCGCAAAACAGACAAAAGAACATTCTAGTGATCATCCAGTAACAAGGGAAATGATAGTGTAGTGTCCTCACAACCAGAATAACCTCCTTTCTCTGTGATTTGCAACGGACAAACAGATCGTTCTTACGAACGTCTCTCACATTCTCTTCTTAGCAGGTATTCGTGTCTATTGGGTCCGTCCCGTTTGCTGCTCATCGAACACTGGTGCGTAATAATAATAGATTAAAAAAATGGTTTCTACTTCGCGCTGTAAATGCTGTTGCTGCACGTCTCACCCCGTTTCCTTTTATGACAGATTATCACCTTCACTGGTCTCACTGGAATACGACCATTTTTTTATTATCTAACATTAGCAACTAATTCCTAAATGAAACCAAATTCATTCCACAGATCTCTCTGACAGTAGTTATCCGTTCCTGGGAGCATGATGGTACTGCTTCAACTGGTTCTCAGTCAATAAAAATCAAACGTAAGCGGATTAAGGTCAGTCGGAATTCAGTGGGCTTGAAGGATGTGGTCAATTTTAGTTTAAACAAATGCTCAATTGAATGCATACCAGCAACCGCAAACACATACACAAAGGTGGTAACTGACTAAAAGTTTTGGTAAAGAAATCAATCCCTACTTACCAACGAAATTCAAAACAAAGTTCTATTAGTACAATGCAGCACAACCTGACGAAATTTGTGTGTACGATCATGAAGTTTTTCTCACATATGAACATGAGCTCTATTAGCATCTTTCAGTACTGCTATTTTAATGCAAAGCAGTCAAGATAACGGAAATCCGCTGGACCGAACACTTAGCTAAGTTCATATATATAATTTCTATTCTTATTTTAAAATTTCAAATCCGAAACTTTTGCTGGAAGCGAAAATCGCATTATTTTGATTGCTAGTGCGAAAAACAAAGGGTGATTTTCACTATAGGTCGTCATGAATGAATACAAGCTTATTAAGGCATAATTTATATCACGCAAGAAGATAACCAACAATGAAGATGTCTCAACTTCTAACGTTTGAACAATTTTGGTCTTAAACGTCACAAAAACAGTCGGCGCTAAAGTAGGCCCATGACAAGCGCCGATACGATTGAAAACTACATTAATGATACAGTACTGTGGAAAAACATCAATATTTTACCTTTAAGAACCTTACAATGCATGTGCAGCGAACAGTTAAAATGAATCAAAGAGTTCCACTTGAGATTGCAGTCACTTTTCTATATAATGTACAATATAACCGTCCGAGTTATTGCAGCGATTCTTCATGTAGTTCTAGCAACGAAATAAAGATTGTAAACGGATGTGAAAATAGTTCCGGCACTACACTTAAGGAAAATGGATACTCAGTGGTAAAACCGGGTTGCTTAAATCACATTAAAAAGCAATGAGTAGTGAATTACTTTAGTCCCTGGATCAAGTGAAAACGGTTTGCTGCCTTAAGGAACTATACCAGACCGAAAAATACCCGTTATTGATAAGAGCAATTACTTTTGAAAATGGTCCCAGTATTGTGCTATACAAATAAACATATTGTAAATTTATATACATAATAGATAACTAGGAAGCGTTGTGCAACACGGTGCATAACACCGATTCATTCCATGCACCCAAAAGGAAAAATATCACGTGTTATACCGTGCACTTTAGCACAGTCAACCCAAATAACTCGAGGCAATGGTGCATCCCAACAGAAAACAAGATGCGTGTATCGAAGATGAAAGAGTAAAGGACACTCGAGATGAGATAGACACACAAATTACCTGAACCACGACCCATAGGTCGGTGAAGCATGACAGTATAATAATGTGAGGTAACACGGTTCGATGATGGATGGTTAACCATTATGGATTACAGATGAAATATTCTGGTGGGTCAAGATAGCTTTAGGTGTAAAAGAACGTTTTAAAGATTTTCTTATAGCGATCGTTCCTCAGGCAATCATATGTATGTTTTAAGAAACGACGTGTAATGTTCTGCAAACAAGAACGGCATTTTTTGAACAAACCAAATAACGAAGCACGCAAAGATATGCTTTCGTAGTTGTGGCACGGACTCAACTTAGGTTTCGTGGAGATGGTACGAAAATACTTACAAAATGTTTTTTCCAGGTAAACACTGTAGATTTATTGTATTCATCAAGTTCTCCGGAAAGCTGCTACATTATTTTACAGGAAAACAAACACATAAACTTCGTCTCTGGAAACTGCTATTCACAGTTAGTTTACCGACATTGGTTTATGGCGGCTCGCTCGTTATTGTACCCTGCATAGCCAGACAAATAAGGAGACTGTCTGGTAGTTTTGTATGTTTTCATGTTTTGTTTTGTGGTTGAAAGCAAACAGTCAATGAAAGTTGTTAAAACTGGTCGCAAGCTACTCATGTGCACACGAATGACAAGAAACACCGTGGTGCTGTTATATTTTACTGTAATGATTTCTGTGGGCATAAATTTCAGTCTCAAGGTACACAATACCGAAGGAGTGGTGATGTGGTTCATTGTTGATCCCACCAAAAGCTATACCGCCAACTAATATGACATTCATTGGTAACTAGTATTGCAAACATCTTATACTAATGTTTACTGATGTTATTTCTTTTAAGTCCATATTGTATACTTGAGCAGAGACATGAAAAATGGAAAGAAGGTTCTCAGTTCCTGTTCGGAAATTCGACGATCTGTCGTTAAATTATTAAAGCACTTTAGTCCAATAATAAATGGACAATTTTTATGCTTTTATCGAGCGATCATGTACAGAGAAGGAATTGTAAGAAAGAAACTGTGAAATAAAAGTATATATATGGTATATGTGTATTTAGAAAAGTTTTTGCTCAAGCTACAGATCAGTTGATTCCTGGGAATATGTAAGGGGCGGCATTAGGCTTGGAGATACAGAACTTTGACCAAATCGAGATTCTCGGGAAGCAAATCTGGAAGAACTACGGTGACACAGTACACAAGAGAAGATAAATTTTGATATGGTATTCGGCGGGACTTAAAAAGCGTAATCTGAAAACGTTTACTTTCCTCGCGTTAGGAAATGTTCCCCAAACACTATGAGTTCACTTGAACTCTTTGAACACATACACCAAAGTAATTGAAAAACTTCTGCAGTCTGTATCCAATAATCTCAATACAATGCAAACTACCATCGAGCAATAACGAGACGCAGTAAGGATTATCCGAATTCCCGAAACTGGAGACACAAACGAAAGACAAATGTCATAAACTGGAAGTCTTCGTGAAAATGTTGTACATTTGAAAGGTTTAAAACTGATGGAAGGAAATAGAAGAAAATTTGAAAGGAAACGCTAATTGGAAAGTTGGAGTAATGTACCGTCGTTCAATCTGATAAGTAGTGCACACTAATTGAATTCACTGAGGATTAACCCCTAGAAATCAACGGTTTATTGGACCTTAAAACTGCCGATTGCGCTTATTCAGGTTTCATGCATATGATACTGTTTTTATTTCCATCACGCACAATAGAAATAGAAAGTTAGGCCTTTAGAAGACGATTGTCAAGCGTGATGTCGAGCCCGATGACTGTGTTGTCTACCAAAACTCTATTTACAAACCTATCGCGAATAACTATCTCTACTCAGTTAGACACAAGCCTGATAGTCCAGAGACAGAGGTAGTCCTACAAAACAATTTTACTTTTCATGTGGGTAATGGAGGATTTGGTTCAATTTCAAATGACAATTCGTCGTGTATATAGCAAATGAAGCGTGAAGTGAAAAGCTCGGAAGCACTGGACAGCTGTTTCGACCTGGTTAGGTCTCATCAGCAGAGCGAATCCATCGACCCGACTGGGGATCGAACCCGGGACTTCATGGGCAGAACGCAAGCGTG